GCCACACTTACTTTATATCTCTGTCCCAGACTGCTGCAGACTCATTTATTAAACTACTGCATGATATCTTCTCATTGAAATTTTTAACATTTTCAAACCTGGGTTCATGATCAGCCTCCTTACCTCCATTCCCAAACTCAGTCTCCCTCAATTTCCTGTTCTCAATGTATGGTTCCAAAAATCAGGAAATGTGATTTCATGATTCACACACACACACACACACACACACACACACACACATACACATTATATATATATCTTTTAATTGGTTTGATTTGCTTATGGTGTGCCATTTTTTCTCTTTTCAAATTATTGTCTTATCTAACCTTTCTTTATGAAATTGTTACATATCAAGGTGAGGACTGTGATTTATATAACTTTGTATTTCTAGCATGTAGCACATAGAAGGTGTCAATATATTCTTGTTGAATTAAAGAAAGAGGAARTATTTTCTGTTTCAGATAGTTTCCAAGCTATTTGTAAATTTCTCTACCCATTAGTCTATGCATATTTTTTCCAAACTTCACTAAATTGTCATTTTTCTTTTCCCAGGGTTCTAACCTAAAGGACTTTTATTGCAGTATGTTAATGAAATAGCTCTGTGTTTCATAAAAGTGATTTTTATTTCTCTTCACTTTGGCACTTGCACACTTGGATTTATGTGGAAAGGGATTCTTAACAGCAAGAAAAGACCTATTTAGAAACAGCAGTGTAATCATTTAGCAGTAAAGAAAAAAAATGATACATGGGCCATGTAATTAGTAATYATCTGTTTTACATTTATTTTTCAGGGCTGAAGTTCAGACAGTGTGCAGTAACAAGCAATAGGCCATACCTTCTCAGTTCATCCTTGAAATTTTTAATATGAATAATAAGCTCCACACCTTAAATTTTTCCCACACACATGTAAAAAAGACACCCACACATGTATGTGCATGCATCCATGTGCACATGCATACGTATGCACCTGCACACACACACACACACACACACTCACACACACCCCTAATGAATCATATCATTCAAGGGAATTCATTTAACTTTTTTTTCTCAAGAGTATAAAAATAAATTACTAGCCCCCAATCTAATCCCAGTTTGTGAGTAGCTTAAATTTGCTTTGTACTACAAGAGTGCCCTGTTTTTGTTGCTTTGTTTTCTAAAATATGAARTTCTTTTAAGATTAGTTTATATAATCTGGTAATGGAACAATTCAGAGAATTTAAGCATTTAAAATGCATGTTTATAGACTTACCTCAGAAGTWATTAGATAAAACTCACAAATCCATCAAAAGACGTGATGTTACGGTTTGGATATAATGACCCTYAAAGTCATGTGTTTTGAAAGCTTGGTCCCCAATGAAGCAGTGTTCAGAGGTGGGCCTTTTGGGAAGTGATTGGAAGTGATTGGGCTCTGACTTCACAATGGACTCATCCACTGGTGGATTAATAGATTGATGACGTTATTGGGAGGTAGTGAAACTTCCCAGTAGGTGGGACCTCCTTGGAGGAAGGAGGTCACTAGGKGTGTGCTCTGGAAGGAAAGATCTTGTCTGCAGCCTCTTCTCCCTCTGCATCCCAGCTGTCATGAGGTGAGAAGCTTTGCTCCACCAAACCCTTCTGCCATGGTGTTTCTGCTATGGAGCCAGATGACCATGCACTGAAACTTGTGAGCCAAAAAAATCTCTCTTCCCCCTCCGAATTGCTTTTCTCAGGTATTTGTCACCGTTGCAAAAAGCTGACTAATGCATGTGGGTGTGGAATCATCTCTGTCTGGGACAAACATTCAGAGTGGCCACRAGCAAGTCATTTATCCTGTCTCTCTCTCCTCCTCTAAGACATCGAAGGAAAGCCTTCCTCACAACTTTGGGAATAAAGCAAGGCAACATGTGAAAGTGCTTTGACAATTACAAAGCACTATAAATAAGTAAAATGATGGCATAATTTTTGTCATTATTATTGAATAAGTCAAATGAAGTTCTTTATGTGAGGCTGAATAAATAAAAATAAAGTGTGCTTTTATGCAGAAAATAGGGGATCCCACGTTAGAATTTTAGTTGACACAGTATGTGTTCAAGATAATGAACTTGGCTTTTCCACACATAGAAATGTGACATTTAAAATGTCCCTTAAGTGGAATATTTTAATGTGTTTTCTTTAATGTTTTCATACATTCTTGGAGAATGTCCAAAATGATAATTTTTTTTCCACTAGAATGTTTATTTTCTGTAGAACTAGCAGTCACAGTAAATCCATGGAGAGATTATACTCTAAGTAGTATATTCTGCTGTATATCCAGGTTTGTTTGCTTTTTTTTTCAATCAGTCAGATTTTCAGTCAATCACATTCCTATGTTTTGTCTTCTTTTATTACACAATTTTATTCTTTCAAAGCAAGATGAAAAAAAAAAACTTAAAGGAAATCTAGTGTGTTAGTCAGCTTTGTGTGGCTATGACAAAATATCTAAGATAATCAGCTTTAAAGGAGGAAGGGTTTATTTTGGTACATGGTTTCAGCCCATGGAAGGTTGATTCTATTGCTTTTGAGCTTATGATGAGGCAGCACATCATGAGGGGGAGCAAGTGGGAGGGCAAACCTGCTCCATGTCAGCCAGAAAGCAAAAGAGAGACAGGAAGGGCCAGCATCTCAAAGATCCCTTCAGGAACACAATGACCTAACTTTATTCCAATAGCCCCCATGCCCTAAGGGTTCCATTACCTCCCAACTTTGTCAAATGTTAGAGACAAAAACTTSAACACAGGAGCTTCTAAGGAACATTCCAGATCCAAATTCTAGACCTAGGTGAATTTAAAGAATTCTACCCCCTTGATTAAAATTTCCAATTGAAGAAGCCACAAAAACAACTCTTTTTTGTTTGTTATTTAATGTAAACAATTTGGGGGAAATATATTTCTATTTATTCTTCCTTTTGCCTTATAACTTTGAAAATTGTGTATTAGGTATTTTCCAAAGCCAAATGCTTCTTTTAAGCTAGGGGATCATTGGAGATCACCAAGGCATCTGTGGTGGTGTGTGCGCATGTGTGTGTGTGTGTGTGTGTGTGTGTGTGTGTGTGTGTATTTATATGTTCTTTATGGGTGCTGAAGCCCATGAGCTCATTTGTGCCCCCTTGACCACTTAACTTGAAGCACCTGTGTAAGAAGAATTGAATGTAGTAATTTACTGAACAAAAAAAAAACAGTTTTACAGAGACAAAGTACTTGGTTCAGTTGTTGCTGGCTTGTCCATTTTTTGAGCAGATGCCTCATTCATCATAACCTGTTATGTTGGCTTCAGTGACAGTCACTTCTGTTTCACAGGACTCAACAGCATTCACCTGGGCCAGGTCTGACTGTTCACATCTTGTTAACCACATTCATAGATTACATACAAATATTGGTATATGTTTCTTCTGTATTGTGCTAGGATTGGAATTACAGACCATTTCTTGTCCTCAAAAGGGACGTATTCAGTACACTACTTGTCCCAAGCTGAAAAGTAAAAACCTCATTTCAGCTTGAAGCCAGAAAGATTTTAGACCAATATCAGAGGGTGCCCACTACTACTATGGACATGGGCAGTGGCTTTTCTACCCATCAGAATTTCAGCATCACACCAGTCTCTAACACTGTAGTTGATACCAGTTTGATTTGCATAATATCTTGATTAGCTTGTATAAATTAAGTACTGCATTTATAAACCYAGCAAGAAGAAGATGAATTAAAGTATTAGACATGAATTACAATTGCATATCATCTGCAATTTAAAAAAAAAAATCCTTGGAGTGCAGATTTGCGCCAGTGAGACCACAAAGTTGAACACCTATTTTTGTCAACTATGCAAAAAACAAAAAAAAATGACAGTCCTAAATTATAAAAATTTAAGTGACCTTTATTCCAATAGGCCTCATGGTCTATATGGGAAAGATCTGGAGAAATATGCAGCCACTTTAGTAATCTAAACTGGTTTGGCTCACTGTTGCCTCCTTCTCCTTCCACAATCCACCTCTTCCCCTGGTTGGTGGCACCAAAAAAGAAATTTCCTAATTGTTTCTTCATGTCCCTCCTGCCAGGGRCAGAGACCAAAATCTCTTGGATGGTTATCAGGGTATAAAGTCCTAGTTTACTTCCCTTTTCCAAATTCTGTGTTGATAAAAAGCCCCAAAGGAGGCAAACGCTTTGGGCCAAAGAGCACAGCCCCTTGCAAAAGCTTTGCCTAATCCAACTCCAGCCCAGATTCAAATCACACGTCTCACTGGTCCCTCCATCTCCACCTCCACTAACTTGACTTTCACTTGGATGATTGAGAGTTTTTCTCCTCTTGTTTTCTGTACAACTCCCCCTTATAAGTTATTCTCCATACAGAAGCCCCAGTGATCTTTGAACACTTTAGAAACTCCCTGAGTTCTGAAAATAAATCCCAGTGGTCTAAGAAGTGCTGCCTGCTCTGTTTCTGCTCACTCTTCCAGCCCCTTCTCTCCCTACCTTGTGCACCGCCGCCATGCTTCTTTCTTTTCTGCCCCTTGGACACTCTGAGCAATTCCCTGGCTCACTCCCTCAGCACCCAGAACATGTGTCCCATATTCCTTTAGGTCTCAGCTCACAGGTCACCTCCACAGAGAGGCCTTTCCTTGACTTCTTGTCCAAAGTGCTCTCCTCCCCATAACTCTTCCTCTCAGTCCTTTATCTTCAGAACCCCCATCTTTATCTGAATTTTTCTTTTAAACTTGACTTTTCCCATCGTCTTTTCTAATACTTTTTGTAGGATATAAATGCCACTTCTGTCTGTCTCTCTTGTTCACAGCTGGGCCTCCAGTACCTGACACAGTGGGATATTTGTTGAATGAATATATGCACATTTAAGGGGCTGACTCAAAGCTGAAGAATGCAAGTTCATGTGTTCTGACTCAATTTAAGTTCATTCAAGTTCATGTGTTCTGACTCAATTTAAACTGTGGGAGATTTGGATATGCGTTTCAATTTAGATTCTTTTTTCTATTTCAGTCCTCTCTAATAAATAGTGACATTATCTTTGTGAAGTTGCATGCCCCATGGGAAGTTCTTGGAAGATATGCAGAACAAATGAATGTAAGGATGCCTTTCAGGTAGGTGTAAATGTATTTCCCCCCACTCCTGCTGCCGCACTGTACACCTAATATTCTCTTCTCTCAGAACAAATAAAACTGAAGTGCAGACTAGAAAGTTATTCAAGGAGAAAATCCTTCAAATGTTTAGGAAATACAAATAAGTTTTCATGGCCAGTAATGATTTCATGGCTTTTGGTGACAATTTCTGGATAATTCAGTCCCTGGCAGGTGGATATTTCAAGTGCCTGTGATTAAAAAAAGCATTTTCCAAGAGAAATTTTCATTTTAAAAGTGCTACTTCTGGGAGTCCTATGAATTGCTGCTTTAAACAGCCAGACTAGTCTCTAGGCACATGCTCCGTACTGACTAGTCCCTTCCAGAAAAACATTAAAATCTGCTTCCAGATAAACAAGGTCAAGGAATTTCATGAAAATGTGATCTATTTTTTTTAAAAATAACCTACTTTTAAATTTAAGACATCATAAATACTGTGCAAACACAAGTGTGGATATTTGTTCCAAGGGAAATAGAATATACTCTGTGTGGATTTCGGAGGTATTTGAGAGGATTATTTACCTTCRTCTCACAGTGAATATCATTACTTTCCCTATAGATTAAGAAAAAATTGATTTTCATTTGCTAGATGGAAATAAAATAAGATATTAAACCTGAAATTTTAAATGCCAAGATATGTGTGTACCAGTGAGGGGATTCAGAATGGAATCTACTAAACAAGGAAGAGCAATTCAGTACCAAGGACAGTTCCAAAGTTGAGTTAAGTACTTTGGGTTGCGTTTTGTCAGTAAGTCCAAGTCATGTACAGGAATTAGGCAAACTGGTACAAGTTTTACAAATAGCTCTTAATGGACCATGGAAAGTTACGGAGACAAAGAATCAGTTATATTCGCAGATACAGAGAGAAACTAAAGACATGTTGAGAGAAGAACAATTTCCATTCATAGGCCTGTAATGTATCTCCCACATGCATCTTATTCTCATTGTTTATTAGTCTTTATGTCCTAATATCAAGTAAGAATAAAGACTGGGACTAGCATCTGTTTTCCTAGAGGCAAAATTTTCAAAATAGATAAACATAGTTTTGATCTTATGATTTATTTTTCTATTTAAAGTGTTAAAAAGGAAATCTTTACACTCAAATTTTTTTTAAAAAAATCATACATGCACTGAGGAAAAAAATTTAAAACTTCTATACTAAAATAGTTAAATCCAGTTATTTATCAATGGTATCATAACTATCTAATATGGATTAATACCATATTAGCTGAAGAGCCAAAAGGGAAAAACAAACTGCAACAAAATAAGCTTACAGAAATTGAAACGCCTTCCTCAGTCTAAATTTCACAAGACCTTCTGCCAAACACTCCTGTAATGAAGAATGTAAAAAAAACCTGAAAACTTAAGCAATGTTTGTGCAAAGCAACCCTTAGTATCGCAAGGATTCACATCTGAAAGGACTGGCTCATCATAGGAACAATTTCTGCATGCCCATTAGGTAGCAGAAAAGTGCCACCTCTAAGCAGCATGAATACCTTTCTGAAACAGCATTAAGAGAATATTATCCAAGCAAACAAACTGAAAATGAATGCAAATAATAATTTTCTTGTAGATGTCAGGATTCCTGAAGAAAAACAATGTTAGAAAAAAATATTGTTAATGTGTGTGGCACTAATTGGCCTCATTAACATTGATGTGATTTTACTTAAGCAAAGCTTCATTTGTTACAATCTGATGCATTTAAAATTTCTGCTATTATCTTGTCCATGGTTTCAAATATGTAACTCTAGCCTAAGGAGATAATTGCATTTCCAAAGGAGGAATTTTCCTGCTGTATTTCAATAAAATATACAAACATCAATTTGACATAATTTCAGTGTCCCAGAGAATTGTATTTGTTTTTATTATTTTCTGAGGACTATAATTCTGAATCTCAGGTTGGATATTTTATCCAACAATGTTTAAAAAGAAATTGAAGAATTGGCTTCTTAGGGGAAATTGCCAATAATACCTGCTTCTTAAATACTTATGTCTATGGATATAGCTTAAAAATGTTAATAAACTTTATTTTTAAAGCACTTACAGGTTTACAGTATATTGAGCATACAATGTAGAACATACCCATATAAACCTCCTCACCTCATAATTTCCTTATAATCATCTTACATTAGTGTGGTATATTTGTTACAATTAATGAACCAATGCTGATTCCTAATTATTAACTGAAGTCCATAGTTTGTTTAAGGTTCACTCATTTGTTACAGTTCTTTGGGTTTTGATACATGCATACCACCATGTAGCTCCCATTACAATATAACAAGGCAAACAATGTCCTAAAAATCTCCYGAACTTCATCTATTCCTTCTTTCATCCTTGGCCCACACCCGTGGCAACCACTGATCTTTTTATTGTCCCTATAGTTATTGTCACAACTATGACAAATGTTTTATAACATATAAATTTCCCCTCTTCCAAAATTGAAAAAGCTCAGTTATAGTTCAGAATACATATAAGCCACAACAGTTTCATTACTACTTCATCAATTGAAGCCTGAAATATTTAAAAGAAATTTCACTGTAATAACACATCTAACACATATATTCTTCTCTACAACCACAATGATTGTTTTTAAGATTTAAAAAATGTAAATATACAGCAACATAAGAGATCCTTACTAAGTCTGATTTTTAAAATTGTTTTTATAGAATCTCTTGGTTTTATCTGCTCAATTCACCTTTAACAAGAGCCAGGGGTCAGTCAGTATGCCCCAGGTGGTTATTTTCAAGTGTGTGTTGATTCTGATAAATTAGTGTCCTTCTCATACTGGTTGTGAAATATATATTTCTCATATTACCCCAATCTAAATCATGAGTAAAGTGTTCTATAAACTTAAAAGCTCTACCAACATGGATTTAATACAATAGTGTGCCCATTAAATTATGTATCCATCTCTGTGTTTCCCCAGAAAAAAAGCTGATCTCAGCCAAATCTGTGCAAATAGCATCTGTTCCAAATCATCTCTGTGCACATGTTTTGTAGGGAAAAGGCAACCATAAAATAATTATAGTAATAAGGAAAGGGAGAAGGAGCAATGAAAGTGCCTCTTAAGATTTCATAACTCAAAAACGCATGCCCCATGTTCCTACTACACTTCTCACTGTTAATCTCTTTTTAGTTTTTTCTTCTTCACCTCTTACAGGCTTCTATCTTCAATCTCCTTTCCTTCCTTGCTAGTTCAAACTGTAACTGACGATGGGTTTTCTTCTCGACTGGCTTCATTTTTGCTGTTCTTCCAGGAGAAAAATCTATTACCTGCCCCGCCGGTACAAGTTCATGAGCAGGTTAGTAGCATGTTCTGTCACGAGGGGTGTTTGTCTGTCTGCTGGCCTGTGTACTCCAACAATGACAAGGAGCTACAAACCTAGAAAGATGTCACATGGGAAAATACTGCCATGCATGGTCCAAAAACAGCTTTTTTGGGTTAGACACCCCCTCTACACATACAAAGATGACAATGTCCCCCTCTCAGAGGCTTCTCCATGACCCCTTCACACTTGAGAGGATGCAATTCATCCCTAGGTGTGTTGTGCTGCTTTTTAAGCCCATTTCGTTGGACAAATTGCAAAAAATCCCAGTTATTTAGAGCATCTTTGGCCTGGAAGTTTTTTATTTTTTGTATTTTGTTTTCATATAAATCCCTCCCTCCCAGAAAGCTTCAAGTATAGATAGCCACCTTTTTACAAAGCTAATGGCTGCTCCCCCAGCATGGGTGAGGTCCTTCCCTGTTAGTAACATTGTGTTAATAAAATATGCAAATGTATAACCTTATTTGGGAACTTGGGAGCTCTTCTAACCCTCTCTATTGGAGAGAGAGAGAGAGAGAGAGAGAGAGAGAGAGAGAGAGAGAGAGAGAGAATGAATGAGAATGAACTGAATGAAGATTTAATTTATGGTACTTTGTATCCTACTCAAATTTGTTTTTCCTTGTTTTATGAGAGGCCAAGGAAAAAAGGAACAATATTGTCCCTTAATTGGATTTCATGGTGATCGTTGGTAAATTTAATTTAAAAAATCTTAATTGCCCTTATATTTCTATTCACCCTGAGTTGAGTTGATGATTAAACCAGGGATTCATAGAATTTCTCTGAAAATCCTATGGTTAGTTCAGTTCTGTGAGATCTGGGATTCAGGTTCACTCCATTCATATGCTATGCAGAGTGGTAAGTAAAAGAGTAATTGATGTGGTTTTGTGGGTTTTCTCCAGGGCATATGTACTCAATGTGGTATGGTGTAAGAATTAACATTTAAAAAAAACACCTCAAATGTTGTAGTTTCTCAAAATTTTCCTATGCAACAATCTTATTAGCAGTTCTTCTTTCATTAGGCAGTAGACATGCATTTGTATTTACCACAATTCAGATTAGTGCCTTTTCATGTAATGATATTCTGTAACAGCCTGGTACAAAGTTCTCAAACTTCAACTAGCATCAGAATCACCTATTAAAACACAAATTTTGAGCCTCCAGCCCACCCCAAGTTCCTGATTCTGTAGGTCTGTGGTGGGACCTAAGAATTTTTCTAACAGGTTCGTAGCTGAGGCTAATGCTGCTGATCCTAGACCATGTTTTGAAAACCTCTGATCCACATGACACATTAATCTGTACATTCCCATTAAATTAAGGGTTTGACTAACTGTAGATGGTGGGAATGAAAACCCAAATCAAATAACACCTGGAAAAAACACAAGGTGAACAGAAGTTCCTCCCAACTCTGAGAGCACAATGGAAATATCAAGTCCATACAGATATTGTTTCAATCTGTTGATGAAATCTATTCCAAATTCTGAAAGGAATGGAGGGTGGGCCTTACCCTGGTCCAAGTGCGCCAAGTAACCTTTACTCAGTAGAGTCAGTATATGTGGGACAGATCGCCTCCTCTGGGATCATAAAACCTACAATAGCACTGTATGGCCTTGGGCAAGTTACTTCACATCTCTGAGCCTGTTTCCACACTTATAAAATGATTTCTACCCTATAGGGTTAATATGAGGTTTAATGCCTAGCATATAGTAGTTGTTCAAGAATGGTATCTATTAGTGATTATTATTTAGAATATTCATAAGAATGATCTTGTGTCTTTACATACCTTCTATTCCCTTTCTGCTTCTGAATTATTATCCACCTAGACTGTTTCTCCTTTCTTCTGTCCTGTGACTAGTCTACTAACTCTCTGGAAGTTTCTGATTTTATGTGCCACATAGTCATTTGTATTCCATTTATATTCCATATACTCTCCATTTATATTTTGTATACAGGCTCCACTATTTGCACAGTCATACAATTTAAACCTCAGGGTCACTCTAGATGTTCTACCCCCACCCCTCACTCAATCAGCCTCTCAGGTTCTGTATATGCTCTCCCATGAAAACTTCTCAAATCCGTTCATCACCCTTCATTCCCACTACCATTGCCTATTTCACATTGATTTATATTCCTGCTTCTGTTCTGACCCTCTTCCAAACTGTAGTCATCTTCCTCAAGTAGCAAATCTGATCTAATCTCATGGTGGTTGCTCTACAGTAATGAAAATAAACTGAAAAGACTTACTTAAACACAGCACTTGATAAATTGCCTTCACCCATATTTTCCTTCCCACCGCTCTTAACTACTCATAGTTTCCAAAGACATTATGCTTACTAGGGTTTACATATCTTTGCTTATATGGTGCTTCTTGGTAGCCCTTTCCCAACTTGTTCACTAAAGTAGCATCTACTCTGTCCTCAAAACTCTGTCTATGCATTTGGGATTTTTAACCAGGGTATATGATGCCTCTTTCCTGTTGTCCTATTGGCACCCAATGTCCCCATCACCACCTTGTGCTGTACTCTATGATGTGGAATCCATCTCCCCATTTATACGGTTTTTAAAGGCAAGGATGGCCATTCAATTCTATATTTTCTGTACCTCAAATGTAGTAGGTGGGGTGAATGAATTCATGAATCTCCATATACATGCATGAGAAATGGAGTAGAGAGAAAAGAAATCATAAAAGAAGCATAGAAAAACCACATCTGCCTAAAGTGTCTGATACACTTAGAATGGAAACATTTGCCTAAACAATGAAAGAGGGATGAATAGAAAATGAGTGCTTGAAAGGAAATGGTGATAACAAGAAACAGAATCTCGAAGTTTTATGGAATGTCAATGTCTTCAAGCCCAGTCACTCATCAGTCCATGTTTGAACATCTCTGGAGATGGGGATTCTCCTAGCCATCCATGAGCAGTTCTGACAGTCAGAAAGTTCTTCCTTAAACGAAGCCACAATTTTTCTCTCTCTAGCTTTTCTTCTCTTTGATCATAGTTCTGTCAAAACTGGAGACAAAAATTAATCTACAAAGCAAAAAATGCAAAAGATGTGAGTGAGATTGTAACATTATAGGCAAAAGATTTTAGCACTTAGCCAGCATTGAAACATTGAAAGTTGGAAAGAAGGAGGTTTTCACAGTTAAGTGATTATGAAAATATTCTTGACGGTAACATAAGAATGGAAATCCAACAGAAATGGAGATGTGGTAAGGAAGATGGTGATTTTTCTTTTAGTAATTCTGCATTATAACTCACAGAAGGTCTTTGATGTACTAGTGTCCTGGAGGCCTTTGGAACTGATGGCAAAGTAGTCAAAGCAAGAAGAATCTAATTTGGAAATCAGTGGCATTGAAGTCATGACCTTAGCCAGAGGAGGGTATGGAATTTCCTGGTAATGGATATAAAGAATGAAGAAGACTAATAACAATTCCTTGGCAAGACTATGTTAAGGGAACCAGAGGAGAGAGGAGGTTGAGAAAGAACAATTTGAGAATAGAAGGAGAACAAAGAATGAGCAGTATCAAAGACACTAGGAATGAGTTTCCATAAGGAAGTGCGGTCTTCAGCTTCTGAATGATGAGAGCTGAGAATCTACTAGGGATATTTAGAAAATGTTGATTTTCTCCATGATAGCTGTCTCCATAGAGGTTTTTCTCATTGTGCGTCAGGATTATAAGAGGACTTTAAAAAACAGATCACTGGATCCATATCCAGAATTTATGATTCAATAGATTTAAAGTATAGGTTGATAATTTGCATTTCTATCCAAATCCCAACTGATGCAGATGTTGCTGGTCCAGGACCACAATTTGCAAACCATGACCGTGGAGTGGAAGGTATGGGAAACCTCTTTACAGCTGATAGGGAAAGAAGGAGGACCTGATGCATCAGAGGCAGTGAGGGTTCATTACAACTTAATAAGTTTTATGATAGAAGAAGAAATAGGGGACATGATTTGGAATAGGAACCAAGAGGAGGGAAGCAGAGTAGACCATGAGTAGATGACCATTCATTCTCCACGTGTGCAGAGGAGAYGTCTTGTATGAATAAAAACTTGGGAATCCTTGTTTTCAGAGCTGGAAGAACAGCTTACTAAACCTGATCTTTAGCCTGAGAAAGTAGATGCTCATTCAGGTGCATAAATCACAATTGTGGGAGAATTCAGGCATTGGAGGGCACTGGAAGACCGTGTGACAAATAAAGGAAAACCACATCCCAGCAACGGTGATATGACATGTTGATCTAGAATGGCCTCTTAAACAGGCTCCATTGCTTGCCATATAGCACTAAGTTATGAACCCCACTGAACTGATGTGACTTTCTGAAGCCCAAAGTCTTGTGTAAATTTTAAAATGTAGTTAAGTAGAAAATTTTGCTTCAATTTTAAATCTAGGCTTTGTCCCAGAACTGACTGACTGAGATGATAAAGAGGATCTGTCCCTTTGCTGTTAGCTCTGGTATTCCAAATTGAAGGGCACGTCTCTGACTCTGATCTTGATACTACCCCAGCAATGAAAGACTTGACATCTAGCATTCTCAATCTCTCCCATCATACCAAATATGGATATTTAATTTTAGCTTTTAATTTCATCTATGTTAAATTTAATTTTATAGTTCCATAAAAGCATCCCTGAAACAAATCTATCTACTTTAAAGATAAGATAAATTAATTAAAAATTCTGAAGTTTCTAAACAGGCAGAGAAATAAAATGTCGTCTTCTTCTTCTTTTTTTTTCCAGTATCTTCATTTCAAAATGTCACCTGACTTCCCAAAGCACACTCAAATATTTCAGACTTGTATTTTTGGAATAAAAATTCTTCTTATCCATCTAGTTCATCTATTAAATAAAGCTTTGGATCTTGTCTTTGTGATGCTTATAGACATTATAAATTAACTATCCAATAAAGAAGGAGGATTTATCATCCTCCTTCTGCCTTTTTTTCCCACCACAAAATAGTACAAATATAGTCCATAG